CTGTTTCCGAAGAATTTCCAAGGACTTATTGTCTACCACGGCGTGACAAGGGAAAGTTAGTTTTTCTCACGTACGCTGCAACTTTCCTCCCACTAACCACTTCCTCTCGAGGGCGGTTAAGACCCTTCGTTTAACCAATTAACAACGAAGGCTAGTCCCTCACTCTCTTAACTAACATCGGCACCAACAAATCCGATGGTCCCGTGCGCTAGACACACCCATCCTTAGCTTTCCTCCGACACATCATCGTCTCCCAAGACAGTTCTGATTTTACATCCTTCGAACGGTCAACATCCTTCCACCGGGTATACACACCCGCAGATCAGTCACTCACTCATCTCGTTCGTACATACGCATCAGTGTAACTACCTACGTTATAAGTTAGTGGGATAAACGGTGAAATATAACTTACTACTGTGTCATATTCATTTAACCACCTCTGTTATCTTAACCGAAACAGGGGAACGACTACTTCGCGGCGTCGATTCACCGAATCGTAGCGAGAATTTACGCCTCTCGCTGACGCGTTTTCCTCGCGACCGCGTCTCTCCGCGAACGGTCGTAACACCCTCTACGTCTAAGGCAGGGATTACCGGCCATAGCCTTACTGACGAGTCCACCGGTAGTCCGGGGACGAAACGCGAATTATCTTTTCTATCTGGGACAATTACCCCCAAAGGTTTAATGGACGAGACTGCTCGTTGTTGAAACCGTCGAATATATTTAAAATGATAAATTAGTATGCAGATAATGCTCGCAAAGACGCTCGTACTAACCGATTCGCTAAGACAGTGTACAAGTCGTAGAATAGGATCGCTATTGACTCGTTAATTAGATCGCTAATAATTCGTTGATAACTGGTTGATAACTGATCGACAACTGATTGTAACTCCTTTCCTTGACTTCCTTGCGATCGCGCCCGTTTGTTTGTACTGGTCGGGGGAGCGAATTCGTCTACGTTTGACGGTTGTATGTGGTGGCGACATTGTTTTGCCCGGAGTTTATTTGTTCTTACATTACTTGCAACCTAACGGTCTTGATACTCCGTGGCAAAACAACAATATGATTTGAATTGTCCTTTGACTCATATGCCGCTACATAACCAAAGTGGTCTGAAACAATCCGACGTAAGCTGAATTTCATAAATTAACTTTCGAACAAATTCTCGATGTTGCCTATGTAGATTTCGAGTAACAGTAGCTTCGACGACAATCGAAGCACATTTCTAATAAGTAACCATGCCGAATGCAATTAATGTTTCATTAAATCGTTCTCCCTTGGGAGAAGAGCTCGATATCTTTCCTGTATTCTTTTCATTTCTTTTCATCATCCGAAGGGAAAGGGATTGATTTATTGCTTTCTGATGTAGCCGGCCACGTTGAAAGTCATATTCATCAATGTCCATCACGGTCGCAATTATAGTCGAAATTTAATAATAACGCGAGCAACTGTATCGGTTTTGCTTTCGTGCATCCTTGAACCATCCATAAAATGTATGAAATTAGCGGATCGGCGTATGCAACGGCGCTTCATTAACGGTGACGTAATTTATTGCCGTACAGGACAGTTAATAATAATGAGAATTTAATGATACGGGGGAAACTTCGAAATTTCCCAGACAAACGTTAATCATTTTTCGAACGCAGAGAATATGCGTATCTGTACATTGTTAATCATGGTGTGCCGCGCGTCAATGAGAAATTAATATAGCTGAATAGAAAGATGTAACGTTTCGATGCTTGACGTTCACCTAATTTCACCAATCGCCGGACCAAAATTTAACGAAATTAAATGTTTCGCGATTGACGATGCAATATGCGTGGAAAGTTCCATTCTACAAACGAGATTAAATTGGAAAAGTGAAAAAACATTTTTCCCTAGGAGACTTCCTATCTGATTTTCGAACTCTGACCTTTTTTCCTATATTTGAATGTTTTTAATTCTGTAAAAAGCGTTGAGTCTGACAAAAAAAGATATGGTCGTTTATTATATATACAGGGTGATTGATAACTGGTGGTACAAGCGGAAAGGGATTGATTCTACGCGAAAAAAAAGTCGAAAATATAGAATAAAAATTATTTTTTTTAATTTTTTCATTTTTCTTTTTTTTTAACTTTTTTCCATCGAGACAACGATATACAGTGAGATCCGTTATAACGTACCGCACGCGTACCGAGTGAAAATTCAAAGTCGATTTTCTCGAAAACAAAGCCTCGAACGAAAAATTTTTATTCTATATTTTCGACTTCTTTTTTCGCTCCCTTTCCGCTTGTACCACCAGTTACCAACCACCCTGTATACAGCGACTATTTATCGTATTATTGAAGATACACAAAATGTTTAAGTTCTAGAAAATTTTATAAATATTACATTTTAATTATTAGTATTGCAAAGGATTATAACAGAGTTATTTTTGTACCTTTTTATTCAACTTATATTCTGGGAGACTCAATTACAATTGAACATTTGTATTTCTGTTTAGTAGAGAATTCATCTTTGTTGTATGCACTATTAAAATTTATTCTCCGCTGCAAAAATCGTCGGCGATATTACACACGTACATGAGAATACAAATAGCAACATTTTCATAACTCGCGTAAAATATGTAATCTTTTATTTCTAAATTAATATTACTGTATCTTAAATTGTTAAAAGTAGATGCTAGCACTTGTTAGAGAAATAAAAAAGCTACAAAAAAGGTTAAAGATTGTGGAACCTTTTTTTTCTTTTCTTTAATTGGCACTATTCTAGAATCATCGGAGTAATTAATTACTGTTAGAATGTAATCTTAAAGTTAAGATTAATAATCTGTGGAAGACACAATGTTTATGTTGAAATAATATTAGGTGATATTTATTAAACAAAATTACAGAACCAAATGTATTTAAAATGTACAGAACCAAATGTATTTAAAAAATGTAAGTAAGTGTTATGGATTGTTGGCAGTTGGCCAGTTACTGTCAGACTGACTGTACGTAGTAACCCATGGTCCCTTAAAAGATTTTGAACCTCACTCTCTAAACAGTAGTGAGTACGACCTGTGCAAGTGTCCTGTTCAAATGTCTGTGTAGATGCCTGTATAAGATTAATATCGTTGTATTCCAACAATTACAAACTATAATTTCGCCCTTTCATCTCATTTAATCGTACACACTGGAAATTTTCATGAAAGGATAATCAAGTAATTGTGCGCAATTAATAACAAATAACTCTGACTATATATCGTAAGTACAGTTCGATGTTATAATAGTTGTATAAAAGTTGCATATATTCTGAGCAATAACGTCATTTAAGAGACATATTTGCGACTTGTTTCACACAATTAACCGTAAATTTCCAAAATATATTCCACACTCGTTCGTTGCGTGTTCCCGCCGTTCGTCTATTTTTCCATCAAACAATTCACAACGTTCGCGACAAGTTGGCATTCGGCGATAGCGGCAAATGGAACAGCGTTACCGCAAACGTAAGCAGGTTATCGCGAAAGTAACAAAGTTGATTACAACTATCGATTAACCGAAATTGAAAATTCGTCTACCGAACCAACAATAGAGACGCGAGTTTCTGCAGACGGTGCGGTGTCGCAAATTAACGCGGAATAGTTGTTACACTGGATGACGGTAGCTACATGCGCGCGTGCAGGGACCGTATCGTAGATCGGAAGATCAATTCCGCCGGACCTCGATTCGAACTTCTTCGAAACGATCTCGTTTAACGAACTCTCGTTCGAAAGCTACGAATTAAAAGTGTAGTATCGTGGACGAAAGGCTTAAGAGATATCGGACGAACCACAAACAATGTCGCGAGAAAGCCTAAGTGCCGACAGGCCCATCAATGTATCGTCGGTTCTTCGATCGAATAGCTACGTGGAAGGGGCCTGCGTGACCCTGGCCACGTGCGATTGCGGAACACGTGCGTGGTGGGGCTAAGACAAAAGACAAAGGGATGCTAAGGGAGAAAGACGAATTAATAGTCAGTGTTAGTTGAGAAGCCAGAGTGTGTGAATCGAGAAGTCAGGAAGATAGTGTTGCTATCGTTGTCGAGAGAGTGTAGTCCGCGTGAGAGAGAACGTTGGAAGCGTAGTGACGAGAATTGCAAATCAACTATTTAGTTGTCTTAATTATAGTACGCCATTGTATTTAGTTCGCGTTAAATAACCAACGTTTCCCGTTTAACCAACATCTGTTTAATCTATTGTAAATAAACTAATTGTAGTAAAAAATCCTACAAAAGGGACCTTCGGTTTCTCATTTCGAGTGCCCGTAACAGCGGCGCGAGAATCTCAGAATTAATTCGTTGGGTATGGTTGACCGATTCGTGGTAATGGACGATGTCCGTAAATTTCTAAGATGCAACCCGCTGAATGAAGGAGAATGAAAGGAAAAGGGAGCGTTGGTGCGGAACAAAGAAGGATAAAACGAAAAACGGAAGATGCTGAGGCCACCCAGTGGCACATACGAATCTATGGATCGAGGTGATCCTCGAGAATCTTGGCACCATCCGAGCCGGTAGCTCAAGACGATCTTCGGGAAGCACGGTTATTCACTGGTGGCGAACTGTCAATAACTTGGCCAGGCTCTCTTCTCTTTCAATTCGTCCCTGGCCCTTTGGATCACATGGCCGTGTTCCTCGTCGTTTGTCCCGTGAAAGGGATCTCCTCGTTGGCTTTCTGGCGCGTCGTGGCCTTTTCGTTTTACACAGCCAAATCCAATTTCAGTCCACCGCCTACCCTGCAAGATCTTCGCACTGGCTCGAACGTCCATTGTGTCCTTCGATTTCGCTTCTCAGTGCTCGTGTCGAGAATCTACAGATTTACCACTTTGGTATTAATGTTTCCGCGTGGAAGCGACCATTCGGGTAGTTTGGTTCTGCGTTTTTAATATTTCCGCTATAAAATAATTTGTTTGCGCGATACAGTTTACAGAATTTCTGATTCTATATCGTTTTCTTATATCGATGCTCGTATATCAGATTTTCATGACATTTTCTTCTTGTTTCAGGTGACTGGCATCGTAGGGCGAGCAGACGTACTCGCTTGCATCTTCTTCTTATTGTCGTTTCTCGCTTACCATGGGTGAGTGTAATTTTATGTAACAACAATTGCTCCATACAAAACGATAGTCCTGATCCAGTGATAATTACTTTTCGTCCACCTGCTTCGTCATAATTGCGTTTTGCTTACTCGCAGTTGAGTTGAATGAAGTGAAACGAAGTTGAATTTAGTATAAGAAAGTTCTCTAATTTATTGCACATGCTCTCTACCGAATGTAATAATCAGATTGCAGATTTCTATGCGTACGAAACTATGCGTACGAAGATATCGTACGAGTATCGGTGGCGATACTTAACGGATGAAACTGGGCTTCTACCTTTATCATTTTCTTAAAAATCCATCATTCAACGATAACGATTCCTTGCTTTGTCTATTAGTAACTGTCGCATTGTCGTATTACAAATTCGTCGTTGTTGAAACGTCAAATCCAGCAAAGGACACTCCAGCGAAAAATTCACAGACGTCAGCCAGTGAAAATCCGTATCAAAAGAATAACAAAAGTGATCCTCTCATTTCCTACGTTCTATTCTGTTTGTTCATGCGTTCAGATTGCGAGTAACCAAATAAGGTAGCGTGCCAGAGGCCGTAATACAGCCATAATTTCATAGAACCATAGAACTTACCAGGTGTGCAGATACGTACGTATGTACGTCAGCGACGTCGAGCGTCGCTAACGGTCGGGACGACGCCAATCTGACGTTGAAACAGCGGCCCATTTATTCTCATGAGCGACTAGGCGGTGTGTGGAAATTATAAACTAAACTAATTTACTCCCTCGGGCCCCGAAGCGTCAGCCAACTATAGCGTATGCTGGCTGGTTGATCGCTTCCGAGCGTTTCTCATCCTCTCTAACTTTCTCCCTTTGGTCGTTTATATCGATCCTTAAACGTGAAAATATAAAGTGCTTACGAGCACGATCCCGCGAACTTACCGCGCAAATCTTTTTATCGTCGGTGTAAGAGGATTGCGGACTTATGTATGGTAAGCGATGTAACGGCTAGTTCGTCGCTCGACTTCGGGCACTTGGAGGGGGTCGTTTGACTTATCTGACTCCCGTCATGGTATATTAAAGCGTTCTTCTGAAGTTGAAGCTTTCTTTTTGTTCTTTTTAGGGATTGTGTCTTCTACCTTGTTTTTCGGGAATACGAGGACATAGATTGAAAGAAGAGTATTTTTAAGAGATTTTTAACGTCAGACTATGGTAGCGATAGACTATGATTGATAAGCGGATGGGTCGATAACTGCGCTGAGAACGTAACATCGAAAAGTTAATTTCAATTAATAACGATAATGTGAAACTGAATACGTACACAGATTTGTGGATGTATACGGTTGTAGACACTTCTCACGAATATACTCGTTGGCACTATCATGAAATCGATATTACGACCATCGTAATTACGTTGTCGCGTCTCGTTTAAGTGTCAATGAACCGATCGAGCAAAAGATCATTGAAAGAACACAGCGCGTTAAAAATAGTTTAACACGGTCACATCCTTAGTTTCGCTTTCGCAAAACTCGTAACATTTTTATCAGACATCGGATGCGACCGGTTTTTCAAATCGAGACCTCCGCCGTGAGAACGTTATCCAACGAAAGCAACAGCGGCCTGTTCGGTGAAATGAATTTCGACGCTGGACGGCTACGTAATTAAACTTGAACCTTTCGCGGGGCAACACGGGCCTGTTTGAAATGAGGGGAAAAACCAGCTCGTATTGCAATCGATCGCGGCGCTCTCGACGTCGAGCGAATGCGCGTTTTTTCCCCCTCGATGGAAATAAGAGAAACAAATATCGAGATAGCGGCGCGAGCCGTGTAAAATACGCGGTATATCGAGAGAAGCGAAGGTGCATAACTCGTAAACGGCGAGGTAAATGGCTGCTCTGTTTAAATGACCGTTGAAACAGGTCAGTGTGTCAACCCTCGGGCTTTTAGGTAATGAATCTCGAATGAATATTTGTATTAAAAAAGGAGCGGACGCGCGGAAGAGGGTGAAAGAGTAAGAGGAAGAATACGAAACGTTTGCGAACAAACGTTTATTGTTCGAAATCAGTGACATCGTTCGTCGAATTACTCAAACGTATTCGACTGTTAGCGAACGTTACAATACCGCCGAATGCTTGGATCGTTGTATCGGCCTTTTTCTTCGTCCACAGTTTTACAGGAATAATCGATTAACTGTTCGTTGAGCGTTAAAGTAAACGCGGTTTAACGGTGAATTTTAATTTTGAAGAAAACGATACTTTTGCTTTGGTACTTGGATTACCGTTTCGAATTATTTCTTGCGAGAGAAATGTATATGGTTATTATTTGTATACAAAAGCGACCATCGAAATCTGTTCTTTTTCGCCGTGTATCGATCTTAATTTTTTATCGAATCGTAAAATTCAAAGCTGTACGATCCATCGCAAAAGTCTGGTGATTCTATTCGTGGAACGTTCCAAGCCAGCAAATACCCAGGAAGGAGGATAGCGTTTGGAAAAACTTTTGGAACGAAAAGTAAAGCCATCGTTGAGTCGATCGATTGACAGCTGGATGCTTGGATAAAGCGGTTGTCTCGGAATCCACGGGATCCATTCGTCCGCTTTTCCATTTCCCTTTGGTTTAGCCCGTCCTTTCAGTGACGATACTTTTCCTTATCCGCGTAATTGCCACCTTTTAAATCCGTCGATTCGGAACGAATCTCCTTTTCCACGGCTGCTTATGCAGCATTATGCATACTTGCCAAGAAATTAAGTGGCTAACGATTTACGTTGATCGCACTCTTCCATCGAGTTCTTCGCTTTCTCCATTTATTACTCTGCTATTTCGTCGACGTTTTTCAACCATTCAAACCTCTCGCCATAGTTAGACACAGCAATACCATAAAGATTGATTATTTGGACTGCGTTTGAGAATAAAATAAATATTTACGCAAGCTCGAAGTAATTTAATCGCGAAATGTACTATTGGGTTGGCAACTAAGTGATTGCGGATTTTGTCACCGGGTGGTAATGGCAAAATCCGCAATCACTTAGTTGTCAACCCAATAGCTACGAGGATGTTTATGCAAGATCGCCCTTTTACGAGCACAGTGAAGAAAGTGGAACCCGAGCAAAGATACACGTACTAACGTTTCACGACCTAAATATTCTAACGACTAATCTATATTACTTTGGATATTTTACATATTTTTGCGTACTATGTATACTCTATGCGTTCTTGTAACTAAACTTTCCGTAAATGCACAAAAATACGTAGTAACTGATAGTTGCGATAGAAATTTGATGGAAATTCGATGTGACAGTCGGATGTTTAAAGCACGAAGAGGAAAAGTGAACTAAGCTACATTTTTTTCTAAATTGATCATGAGTTTATAGCATTAATTTATTCCAATAAACCGTATTGGTCTGATAGTATGAGAATGGAGGGATTCGTGTTGTTCGAATCAGTGCCAGATAACTTAACGGAATCAGTCGTGCAATGAATATTTTGTGGTCGCATCTATTTTAGATAGCGAATTACTCAGCTTCTTGAGTATTGGGGTTAAACTACTTTTACTCTCAAGGCTTCAGATATGTATATTAACTAGCTTTTCTCCTCAAGTATAGGAAAATAGTTCACTTTGCATAAAATTAATACGCGATATCGTATGACTACATTATTTACCCTATGTGTATGTACTTCGGTCCTATACACGTATATATACGAGCATAATATCTTGAATATTTTACAAAATGCGCAAGATAATTCCAAGAAACGTCTGTACGTACGTTCGATACGAATGCTTAATATACGATGCCCCGATTCTCATGCAATCTTTATCTGTTCCATTCGACTTAAAATAAATAAGTTTGAGCAAAATCCTTCTACTTTAAGAACATAATAACATTAAAACGTGGATCGAATTATACGTGTTCGTGTGATAAAACGTCTATCGTCGTTAAAAAATTCGAATTATTAAGCTATTCGTCAAACATGAGCGATCTGGCCGGAACTTTTAAATCACTCACAATTAAGCAGTTCACCAATCCCCTCGAAGAAAGAACCGTCCATTTCAAGTACGAACAGCTGCATTCATTAGCTCGATGAATCCATTTTTGAACACAGAGCATGGCTCGATAAATCGTAAGATCAACGACCTTTCGCCCGTTTAAATTGTTATCTCGTTTGGTCATTCGTTCCTTTAATCGAACTTACAATTTATGAAACGCCGTTGTTTTTTCCATTTCAATTTCTTTCCACGGTGATAATTACCGGCCGAATATCCAATAAGTAATAATTTCTGCGCGTAATCCTCCGTTTTCAGGCGCGAGCATACGACCATACTGTTTTTGCCGTCTCAGACGGAACTCGGCACTCCGCCTCGTTACGACAACCGTTCATTAATCTTACTTACCGAGCTTTGATGTAAATTGTAAGAAATGCCGCGTCGCTCTGCTCTGGACGTTCTCGCCGTTTTTACCACCCCATGGTTTGCGCTTTTACCTCCCGGTGGGCTTGTTCCGCGTTAACCCCATCCTTCGAAATCTGGTGCCATTTCGCTTTTAGACAATTCGTTGCTGAAACTTGAGTGTACCTAGATGAGAACGTAGCCGAAGAACGAGATGTTTCCTTCTTTAGGTAGATTGGAAGAGATTTGGATGGAAGTCGACCTATTCATTCGTTAGACGGCGTTGTTAGCGTTAAATAATTTGATAACGCGAATGAATCGTAAACGATGAAATTATCGATTTCATTTGACATTGTGTTACTCGACAGGACTGGGAATACAATTTTATTCCAATTCGTTGTTCGCTTGTTCGTTGTTCCTTAGGTATTTTGCCCATCTAATTTCACTTTGTTTCGTTTGTTAGGCGAGAGAGAAGTTTATTCTCCCGAATATCTATTTGTGTCAATTAGCAACAATTACCATATGCGTTCGTCTTATACATGTGATCAAACGTCTTTCCAAATCTTCTTTATCAACTTTTTCGAACGATCCTATGAAAGATTTATTCGTTTATCTAACAGATAATAAATGTATTTACTATCTCCTTAGTGGTTATTCCAAATAAGACTTGCAAATAGACGATACAGAATAAAAATAGTTGAGCAAAGAATACGAAATGTCATAGTAAAGCGAGTTCTACGAAGTTTATCAGGATACTGGTGCGCAGTACGAACTAAGTTTCATTTTTACTTCTCCGATCCAAAAATATAACGCATTAAAAGCTTGAAACACGACAAACATTGAATTTTAAGGGTATTTGACCTGGACATGGAGAATAATTGTAATAACAATTCCAGTCCGAGATATGGAACGAAATGAATAAATCCGAATTGAACCGATGAAAAGTATAAACGAGAGAGGGAATTTAAATGATCGTTTAATTTACCGTGAAATGCGAGAAGAGGAAGCTATCTGGATCTGGTGAATTTCAATTTCGTTTCGGCGGAGGAAAACGTGTATTTCCAAACTTCTCGAACGCGTAATTGCTACTATCGATATATATATATACATCCCTTTATTGTCCCTTTCTCGTTTCTTTCTCGCTTTTTTTTCTATTCCCCTTGCTCCTCGTCCCGTTAAAAACAAAATTATCTTTCACATTCGTTCAGAACCTCCTCGCCTGCTTTGCTATCCGACCTTCTCGAAGTTTGCATGCCGATGCCGCGCTTCAAAGATATCCTAATTTAATTTCAAGAAGTTGAAATAGTTCTCGGCGAACTGTAGCTTCTTCCAGTAAGATGAAAAAAGGAAACAGAAAGAAGAAAAGAAACGACCGACGAGTTTCTCAACGCCATTGTTATCGACGATATATCTTTAACTTTCCTCTACTCCGGCTCGAAAGGTAACATTCCAGGGAGCTGTCACTTTACATTGACAAGTCACGAACTTTCTTAATAACAATTTACCTCGAGTAAAGGTTGAAACATCTTTCTGGTTAGTTGTACGTAGTAAGATCGAACGCTCGAACGTTAAGTACGCTGTTTTTCTTATTTTCAAAGGAAATATATGTATCGTTTAATCTCTGCCGGTTTCGCATTCGTATATCTTTACCTCTTTTCTTTGTACTTTCGAATAATCCTTCTTCGAGTATGATATTTTTGCCGCTCGTTCTTCTCTTTTGCAATTTAAATGCAAATTCGAATTATCTCGATGAAAGCAGGCGAAATGAAATTTTTTCGAACGTTTAAATTCCTTAAGGGTTTATATCGCGATATTTCAGTTCGAGTTCAGGTTAGTCAGAGAGAAATTACAATTTTACGACTATTAATTTCGCAAAAATATCGATAGAAGGTATGGATTTAAATCCAAATTTAACACGGGCTCGTTTTTCCGCGACGAGGTTTCATTATTCGTCGTACGTATCGAATTACGAGGCGTTTCGCCACATTTTCTTCGTCTATATTTTTTCCTACTTTCCAGCGATCGTCCAGCCAGGCACAATGCAATCTAAATGTATCTCGCGAAGAATGAATATAATTGTTCCTTGCGGTGCCATGATTCAAAGATAGCTTAAGTTTATTATACCTTCTAATGATCCTCGTTAATTTTTCTCAGGAACGCGTTATTAACTCCGCGAGCGATCTTTTAATTTGGACGTTTTTCAACCGTCATTTCATTTAGATCGACCCTTCAGACCGGTAAGTAAATTTTTTAATAGTGGCTCTAGAAAGTCGCGTTCTAAATTTCGCGTCGCGTGGAAGAATCTTTAAATACGAGCCACCGTTTCTGCAACTTTTGTGCTTCTTATTGCATTCATTTGGTTTTGTCACGGTTCGAATCTGGCGATGTGTTTTTTTCTCGCATTAATCAGGTTGAAGGACCAAAGTCGAAGTACGATCGGTGTATTTAGTACTTTTAGAGTAACTTATTTTTTTCATTAATACCATCGAGATGAATTTTTCACTTAACGATGATCACAGTAATAATATAATAATACAGATTATAATGTGCAGAAATTTGAAAAAACTATAGGCGAAGTATAATTTACATTTATAACAAAGGTGGTGTACTATCGAAGACGTTCTTATTTCGGGGAACTTCTCACCAACAAAACGTAATTCAACGTTATTTACAAAATTAATATTGTCTACACAGACTCTGTGCATATATTTTGTCACGCGGTGTATAATTTCCAAGGTTTTCCTCTTTCTTGCTTAATACGATTGCGTGTAACGTTTTGATGATGAAGCGATATTTTCGAGTTATTCTTTGTTTTACACTCAAGACAAAATTGAAGGGCACTCAGTATCATACGAGGAGTCAAACGGAATGTATCGAGAGGTTCAGAGAAATAAAATTAAGGTCGCTTAGTCAAACGAATACATCGAGAAATACTATAAAGTCGAGCCGAATTATAATTCGAAATATCGTTAAAAATAGATATTAAGCCTGTTAATTCAGTGTTACAATCATTTGAAATACCTCTGTTATCCTAATCGAAACAGGGGAACGAGTGATTCGTGGTGTCGACTATCAAAATCGTAGCGATAATTTACTCTCGCTGACGCGTTTCCTCGCGATCGCGTCTCTCCGCGAACGGTCGTAACAATATATAAAATATAATAAAGGCCGTGTCGGTTAAGATGATGCAGCTGATACATTACGATCTAGGATTCTATCTAACAATGAAAATTTTAGTAAATAATGTGAATACAAAATTTGAAACAAGGCGTATTAAAAAGATAAAATAAAATATATTAAAATATCGTGTGAATCTAAGCTGTCATATTTTTGAAATTTTAATAACTGTATGGAAAAATCATGGATTTTGTTTGTTTGATTCGTTGATCTAGTAGTCTTAGAGTGGCTCGAAGCATAAGTTGTTTGCAGCCATATTGCAAACGTCGCCTTATCCATATAAAGTATACGAAAAGACAAAATATGTAAGCAGAAGCTTAGTCTACTGCCACGACCCAACCAGTGTTTACCCAAACAAAGCGCAAATCCTCCTGTATATAAGTTTTCTTTGTTGGACGTGTTATTACGTATTCTTGGCTTATAGGGTAAGTTGTTATTAGACATCGAAAACAGGAACCAAAGGAAAGGATGGAGTAAATATTTTTGATAATTGCTATCGCGGTAGCCATTACTAGGTAATTGGCTATTTACGTAAACTACGCGCAATCATTATGCTAATGAACTTAATCACGTTAATCGAATAGCAGAATCTTATAGAAAATCACGTATATGTAATTTGTAAATTGCAATACATTAAAATATTTAATCGATCAAATTTTGATGAATTAATTATACGAACTTTTTGAGGTCGAGACTTCCTTTTGAACATTTTGCTATTTGTTTATACATTTGATACATTTTAAACATTTTAGCGCACTGTCGTATACGAGTTTTGAGAATTAACTGAAAACTCAGGATTCCGGTTAAAATAATGCAGTGAAACATAGTGATTAACTACGGTATATAACAAATGGAATTAAAAGGTACCTCAGTTGCACATTGCGTACTCTCCATTTCAGCGAGAGTTAACCGCTGCTATTTGAAATTGAGAGAAATAGAGGAATAAACATTGTATACCCGATCAAACAGTGGTTCATCGTTTAATAATATTAACCAGGAAACCAACTCTATTTTCTCTTTCTACCAATTCTCTCGTTATATACTGGTATTTTAATTCTTTTGCAGTGTTCTGCGCGAGAATCTGAGGCAAATTAAGTAGAGTTTTATAAATATCGTATTTTAAATGGCATTATTAGCCTGTAAATGTTCATACTAGTTTGGAGATACAACTAATGGAGATAATCATAATTAGAATAAAAATTCCGCTAAGAGTCTGTAATTAAGACACAAGATTAGGATCGATGTTGGACTTTTTTTGCAGAGTTATTGAATAAAAGTTGCCTAAGTTAAATTCATTATTAGATTGTAAATATTTACGTAAATCTATGTTCTTATGAATATAGCTAAATAAATGCAATCTAATCGACAATTTCTTTCATTCGCTACATATCATTAGAACGAGTGCTATACTTTGGGTATTTTTGGACCTCTCAATTCTCCATGAGTGCATGGACATTGAGAATCTAGTCATCACACGTAAAGCAATCGTTTAATATAATTTTTAATTTTATTTCCTGTATTCGATGTCAAAATGCAAGGACTCTTCAATCGTTCACTTTGAATTCTCCCCGTTCTTCGTCAAAGGAATAAGATGAAAATTGAAAATTTTCGTAAGTTTCAAGATGCAGCAATATTTAATATAACAATATTTCGAATGTATTTTTAAGCCGGATCGAGGCTGTAGCTTCGCTTTCGAATTTTACATTAAAGTGCTCAGCTTTTTATATCAGGAAACTTTGATGGTCACTGTGGAACTTCCTGTTACACAATTCCATCTTAACGACCGGATTCTATCCTAAACGCATCAAATGAAATTTTTTCTCGTTTCGTGTTCCAGGCAGCAGACGGCTTACGTGTGGAGCAGCGTGTGCTTGGGGGCGCTGTCGATGCTTGCCAAGGAAACCGGCATTACTGTTTTGCCTCTAAACCTTCTTTACGACCTTTGTCGCTCCTGGCATTCAATCAAGAGGTAAGCGTTTAAGTCTCACGCTCGCCGACCAGTTTGGAAACGCGACACGTAACTCACGTCGATAAATCCTGAAATAAGGAGTAACATTGTGTCTTGCTCGTAGCTTGCGCGACTTTACGCGACCCTTTGCCACTTCTCAACCCACGATTTCTTCGTTTATAACGAGAATTGCAGTGAGTCGAGGGTGGATTTCATGCCGGTAGGATAATACGGCGTAGCTTCGACTTAGACCCTCGCTTTTCTGAGAATCGAAATACTCGAAAGCCTTCGCTGCATCGAGATTCACAGAAGGACGAACGATACCTCGCTTTATCCTACAATTTCCCATGTAATTATCGATCAATGCGTCTAAATTTTATCGTATTCCTTTTGCAAAACAATGCTACTTTCGTGTATTTATAGGTCAAATCAAAGACGAAGACATTTTTTACTTTAATCACACGTCTGAATTTTCCCTGAGAACTATTAACACTTTGACTGCCACGCCGAGATCACATGATTCGCTCAGGACGCCACGGGAGTATTTTTATTATTCAAAGCATATAATGGCAAAATAATAATAAATTGACGATGCAAGACAACATTCTTCCCCAATGGACCGTTTATCTTATTGGTGGTCACGGGTGATCACCGTGGCGCCTTGGTAACAATTGATAGCGACATATTATAACGAGGCTTGGTTTATTTCAACCAACCATTCGCATTCGTTATTTCGTCGTAAGCAAAACGTGCAGAATATATTGTTGAAACGTGTAGAAGATATTAGTAAACGGTATTTGCTCATTCTACATATAATAGTAAGGTATGTGTACACTTCTGACTTCAATTATACGATTATAAAGCAGCATTTACAATTATTTTCTAAAGTGTGTTTATAATAATATTCGTAGATATCCCCTCAAAGATATGGATGCAAACACAGAGCATCGTTAGATGCAGGATTCGTTCTCATTTTTTTTTTTTTATTGATGTTCTAATATAAATGTTTAATCGTTCAATGGGGCACTTTTTATTTCAAGGTATCTTCTATTTATCGGTTATATTCAAAATGACCTAAATCTCAATTTTCATATAATTTTTACAATTGTAAGAAGTTCAAGCGCTCCGGCCATCGGTGACCACCGTGGCGTCACAGGAGAAATCGTGTCCGGTCATATATCACCAAAGTGTCGGTCAAAGTGTTAAAACTCGATAAGAAACGAGTAGGGACGAGCGTGAAGAAAATTGCGTTCGACAATAAAATATAAAAATCGCGCGACACCATATGCAATATGTAATACGAATATCGTGGATCCTCCTTTGCATACATTCGGAGAATAGGATTTATATCCACAAGATTTGCGTTAATAGAGGACTCTGGCTATCGGAGTTAAACAAAGACAATCCGATGCTCGACCGTAAAATAGCGAAATCGGATTAACTGTTTACAACGGATTATGCGGGGCCAGCGTATTTGAATAACTGCGCTTCGAGGCACGCAAATGAGGGCCGCTAAATTCATGAGTTACTCGAAACTTTAACTAAATGGAAGACGCTTGGCTTGATTAAACGTAATTTCCGAAATAGAGGAAAGATAAGGAGCAATGAAAAGTATTTGGCTGATGTCGATTCGATCATGGAACGAGCAATATCTTGAAAGTTGGAGTTTTTTCCACGATAACGACAAAGTTCGCTGAATGCTTTGTTTCTTCGTTTCAGGTCTATTTTCGAGGCCAGATGGAACGACGACTCGAGACACTTTTCTCGTCGGGCTGCGGCGCTGCTTGTTTCGGTGAGTTCAATATGTATGTTCGAAATTAAATTAGATTAAAAACACGTTCCTAAGTATAACAGTTATTGATTATTGTGGGGACGATTAATTGGAATTGTGTACTGTTCGTGCAAGATGATGATCGAAGGGTTTTAGGATTGACAATTATATATCGATACTGTGAAAATCTGAACCTAAATTTTATTGATAAAATTTGAAGTCGATTGTTACGGTTAGGAAATCGCAAGAAACCTACGTCTAGAAATATTAGAGACAAAAGTATCGCAAATGCGAGACTCGAGAAGCCCACAATCGTCGCCAATCATGTCATTTTTAACACGGTTACTCGCCTATTGAAATCAGATTTCATAGCTATCAAATGGACAAGTCAACCAGCTTCTCCGATGACAACAAGAGAAAGACATGGCAATAAGGCCCATTGCGCAGCCACGAATACCATACAGGGAATAGAATCGAATCCTCTTAACGTGTCGCACGTGGTCACTCGTGCGCGGAAGCCCTGCATGATTTTCCGACGAGCAAGGGACGCGCGTATTTTACCCAATGGCAATGTCGTTATCGTATTACCCGCAATGTCTAAACTCGTGTCGGGCAGGAACGAATAAAGAGATCGTGCTTGGTCTACGTATCCGCGTCTATTCATTTATCTTGTTTCACGAACTCGTTCACCTTGTGCTTCGAGACATCGTTCAGGAAATTCCTGACCGTAGCAGAGAGGACAATAATGAAATTGAAACGCAACACCGGCTGAGATCGATATCGGTGGGGTTCGGGGCGTTCTGCGGCAAATTTATACCATCGTTTACATGGAATTATCCATTTGTGTAATGGCTAATTGACTGTTCAAATACCTGTAGCCTCTATACACTTGCACTAAATATCTTGTATATCAGATTTGGTTCAAACTAGTCACGTTTCGTGATACTTGCAATGAAATTTCAAAATTCGTTACACGATACACACAATATGCGTATTTATCATAGTTGTACATATCTGGAATAGTAAAGTAGCAACGCAGGGCTCAAAGATATATAATTGGAGACGAGACGAGTGGTCTCGATCATCGATAAGACTGGAAACTGCGTTTTGTAGTATTTGCGAACGCACTCGGATCCGCGTCGTTAATTTTTAACGATCGATATCTTCCGTTTTTATCGTCAGACCGTCGAGATGTTAGCAGCGTCTCGTCGGCTTAAGTAAGTTTAACGATCGTTAACGCAGATATACTCGACGATGCCGAGAGTTCACTTTTACGATCGCGTAAGATAAACTCGCTTCCCTCGAATTGTGTTGGCCAACCCACGGAAACTACTTAGGCTGTTCCAGCCTGACGTAAAGCGATCGTGGCTTTCGAGGACTTACGATGAAATACGAGACAGAGAGGTGGTAGCAACGGGGTAGTTATGATTGCGCAGATGCCATTTATCAACTTGCGTTTTCTTTCTCTTCTGCGTTCTCTAGCAGACTTGGCTTTCCACGGGAACGTTTTTTAAAATTGTAACTTCTATGGAAGTATTCGCTAGTAAATAGGAAAGAGTAATTGATCTTGTAATATTTCTTCTGCTTGTAATTAGTTAAACTTGCGCAGTGTTTAAGTAAGTATCGCGTTGAAAGTTTTAGACAACAACGATATCTGACTAACGAGCGATTTTTGCCAGGATCTAAGAGAGACGCTTCAATTTTTGTCCGTATTTTAACTCTTCTCGTAATTCGCGTGATTTTTATCGTATCTACGAGGTTATGGACGTGTACTAAGTATTGCCGAACCGATGGAAAGTCGTGTGTACGCACAGCGCGTAGTTCTACCAAACGGGATTCCGAGTTATGCTAATTTATGTGAAGAAATCAGGGAGGCGTGTGGTCACAACCCTCGTGCAGGGTCTCGCGTACGCACTTCACTGGCTTTCCATCCTCTTCGTTCCTTCCACCTATTGCCACTTACACGTCTAAAGGTATGTTCTTTCCGACAGAGTTACTTGACGTTCTTCTTCCCCTCAGCAACACTGAATTTCAAGGCCGTAAAATTTGCTGATCTTTATGAGGTGGACCCCTGGGTGGATTTCGTGTTATAGGGGTGTTTGGTGATTCCAGAACGTTCTATCGTTTCGAGCTACCTTCGTAGAAATTTTTCCAAGTTCTTCATCTTCTACAGAATCAGATTTTTATCGTTCGAACATTGTCCATTAGTTATACGTTATATAGAGAGCAACAGGAATTGCAAGAATTTGGTGTAATTAATAATAGAGAAAATTTAATAAGAGTTTTCATAAAGCAAAGAACAGTGTAAATATAAAAATGACTTGTTTGGCGCTAGCTTGTGTTTGTTGCGGTAGAAAAATTCTTTGGTATTTCAAAGAAAGAAACTATATGTATGGAACCAACAATCAAATTGTCGACCTTTAAAATAGTAAAACAGCGATAGATTTTCATCGTCAGTTTGCAAAGTACAAAATTTCTTGTATTCTTAATAAAAGCTAAGTATACGTACCAGATGTACCAGAATTACAGCTTACAAATCAAAACATATAAACAAAAATTCTCTATCAGTTTGCTCAGTGATAAAATGTATATCATACAGGAATATAATTGTTGAGATGTGTATAATTTTCTGTGCTGGACCGGGTTAAATGCTACTGATACTTGTATGTGAATATCAGTGTGTGAAAGTATGTGTGTGTGCGCAGCGTCTCGAAAATAAAGGAATGTAAACTGTTCAGTCGGTTAACAGTCGGGTATAGAAGAAAGTGCTGAGACGCGTGCAAGTGTGTATCGATGAATATATAAGAAATCGTCCATGAAATAAATATATTATTATTTTAATATTAATCCTCAGTATATATGTAGTGTTCCTATAACATTATTTCGGCTTCAAAGATCCACAATTTTCAACAATAATCTTCCTTTGCTTTACTCAAAGAAGTCGTGTGAAAACGTTGAGAAGTCAAAGAACTCGAGCGTCGTTACTCGTAATTAAATTCTTCGTTCAATAATTTCAGTGCATCAACAATTATCGATACGCGTACAGGTACATATTGGCTTTGGTCGAACGGTATTTACTTTCGGTTAGAACGGAACGCATGATTCTCTACAACGGTAACAGTCGTAATCGATAACACAATGCATTAGAGATGCTCGCTGTTGACTGACTGGTTCTATACGAGTATGTCTATTGTTACTTAATTGGTTTGTCGCTTAAATCTTAGCTCTATGCTTTGTATTATCTTAAAGCTGTGGACGTAATTATAATTCCGTGTAACCGAGTTAACGTGGCTGCAAACTGCTTTCGTTTGCAAACAATAGGAACGTTTAATTAACAGATTCCAAAATAGAATGCCCGATAGAAGATCTAGGAACGTGATGACGCGTTTACGAAAGCCGCAGCGTACCTTTGATAGTTCTCACAGGAAAATTAATTACACGTGTAATCAGCAACTTTGTGCGTACGTGTACGGTGTTCGGCGTATAACGCTGCGCTTTGTTATCCAAATTAATCTGGAATAATATATTCGTGGAAGAGGGAAGCGGAGTCTTGATCGCTGGTCCATTAACAGTTAACTGAAAGTTCTCTCCGATTATTGGGAGAAATCGTACGTTTCTTGCCTCCGAATATCGGCACGAGGTTCGCCATTTGAAACACCAAACGATCCACGATCTGCGAATGCTCTATGAATGACCGCGGATGTGATCGATTTGACTGTCGAGTGATTCTGTCTCCGATCGTCGAGACGGAACGTTCGATTTCAAAGCTGGGACGATTCTAGCCTTGTTAAATTCGGCCGAACGTTCAACAAGGTGCAAGTGGCTGTAAAAATACGCGTGCTGATTAGTTTTCACCGAACGGGAAAGAAGATCAATCAGTAGATTCGTTAGATACCCTCGCGTGTGAGCGTGAGGCGCGCCTTTAACGAAGAGGCAATGAACGATACTTGAAGAGAATAAAAGCAGCGTTACACCAAGTGTTACGATCGTCGAATGAAATTTTTCCGAATGAAAAATAGCCTCTTACGTTCCAATTACTCGCTTGCCATAAAATTATTTTCGAAAATCACGTTGCTGTTGGAACGAAACAAGTATCTTGAAATCCTACATCGTAGATAAGAAATAGACAGTTCTAAAACCTTTGATAATCAATTAATTCCGTACGTTTATGCCTCTCCGTTACATACAATATAATTATATAATATAACGTGTATTTCTAAACGATATTTGATTTCCACCTGACGTCTTTTCCAGCGCGCAACTAGATGTTATCCAATCGTCACACCGAATTTCATCATAGCCGAAGAAAAAATAAAACGGGAATCGATCGAACGTAAAAATACACGACGGAGCGCGTTGGTCTCGTGAGAAATATATTCCCGGGTGTGCAGGAAGAGGTTATAATACCACCCCAGGCATTCCTGGAAGACTAACAAGAGGGAATTCCGGCGGGAACGCGGTCCAGCGACGTTCCGCGCGCGTCGGATATTTACCGAAATTGAATTTCTGTCTCGTTCCTGGCGTTCGTGGCGTGGGTCAGCGAGCCCCTTGGCGACGTAACACGATATATTCTCGCTGTGTCCAAGGACGAAGACGTCAGTGGCCAACGAAACGAGGGGTGACGTGGAACGAGAGTTGTTCGACATCGAAACGTCGACGTGGGACGTGTATCGTGTACACGTACGTAACGGCGGCTTCGTTGATCGGAGAAGAATATGAATACCTTGGATTGGCAGACATTGTCCGGCTCTAGAACCCTTCTAGAATCCACTCGTTTTCTATCTATACCAAGAACACGCCGGACATGCAGGATGGAGGATTCTGGCGAAGACAGAAAGAGAAAGGGTTGATGGGAACCGTCTACGTGGTGAAGTTGGAGGGTAAGGCGTAAAGAGCGATCTCCATCGAAGAGGATGGGTTGGCCTGGCTATCGGAATAGCGAACTGGCGCCGGACGTGACAGAAATGCGACCAAAGAACGCGTGTGTCGTTCTACTACGTAAACGCCATGACGACGTCTCGTTCTATACCATTGGCATCCGATCGGAATGTTGTCCGCTATATTTTGACGTATTGCGATGGAAGATCGATTTTTGGCTACGAGATATGTATGGTAGAGACGGAGATATTTAAAGGAAAGATAGATATACGTGTATGATCAAATGCTTCTAGTTCGATTGTAAATTTGATTTATCTTCTCAACGGTAATTTTTCTGCGAAGCTGTACGTTAACGAGATTAAGTTTTCAGCGTAGTGTTAGCGTAAATCTGTGATTCGTAATTGCAACGCGATCGAACCGAGATGTGTAATATCATCGATATTCCAGTTAAAGTACAGAAAAATACTTGTTTGCAACGTTATATGTTACATATTGCACATACGCTCTGGTACAAAAGCCTCGGGTCAGCTTTCATTTTTAAGCAGGTTTCAGTACTTGGTATAAATTGAGAATCACGAAGCACGCAACTAAGTCGGGTAGTGTATTTCCGCGTAAGATTTTTAAATCGAGGCTTTTCCTGTTTTCCGTTTTCCAAGCTAGCGAATGAAACCTTCCAATGCTTCTAGCAGTGTAGCGAGTCATTGAGCCGCAAGTTGAGAGCCTCTTCCAGAAAAGGCTAGTAAGTAGCACTTCCGCAATCTGGATTCCCTTTTGTTTTACTCTCATTCATCTTTCGAGTCGCGTAAACGGCAGGCAAAAGGTTCGCGTTTTAGGGCCGCGTAAATCTTGGAGAAACAATTCGTTGAAAATTCGGACGAGATTAAATCGATAGTGTAATCGGATCGATGAAATCGGTAAACATTGAATATTTCATTCGGTTCTGGCTCTAACTTTAACGAGGACTGCAGTGATTGATGTAAGTAGATACACGCGAATACAGAATAGAGTTATCACTTTTTCATGTTAGTCTGACATTGATGTCGCTTGAAGATTCGTCTATGATAAAAAAAAATATATTATATCGAACTTAGCTTTTTATAGAAGTATTTGAACAACTTTACTAGGATCTATGTGTTTTGAACATAGACGAAAGGAGAAAAAATTGTAAAGTAAATACGCGTTACTCGAAACAATTAAACACGCAACGATTGTTAAAGGATCTTTTTTTGTTCGCAGTTTGGTGTGCTGCTGGTGGTACGTCTGGCTCTTCTTCATGGTACTCTGCCCAAGTTCTCGCCGCAGGATAATCCGGCAGCTTTTCATCCCTGTTTCCACGTCAGGTGAGTATCCACATAAGTCCTTTATGTTACATGAGTCGTAACAAGGAATCCTATTACGATGTTTCAAAACTCATACCACCTGCGGACATGCGGAAACCGTATACGGTTGTTGTCTAGCTCGGGATGTAGCAAGCAGTATCGTGTAAACACGAAATCAAAATGACCAACAATCAAACGTGTTTACTACTTTGATCTTACTATACGCGTTTACGTTCCCCTTTTAGCAGCTGTTTGTTGTACGTTCAATTGGAGAATTCAATTAATTTTATTAGAATCTAATTCTTGTCCCTTTGAAGCTTTTCTTTTATATTTAAACTCTGTCTTAAAGATTAAATCGCCTTTTGGTAATTGCTATTATACATTTTTACGTTTGATTTTAGAATCAAATACGCGTTTACCCTCTTGCACGGTTATAAAATATTAATAACGTTAATCGTATACACTATCGATTATAGTAAACTAACGTAACGACTGAACAAATGTTATCCGATTCATATAAAAACATTGCGAATTTGTCATCTATTCCATTTTAGAACACGTATTGAATTTTAGCCGTCAAGCGACATAAAAGTCAGAAAATCAACAAAAAATGGGCTTATCATATTTTTTCCGTGTAATCTTCGTATTCGTAAAAATTGTTTATGATTGTTCAAACGCTGAGAAGCTGTAGCTTCTCTGTTTTAACCAATGAAACAGTTACCCCGGGGCCAACCACACAGAATGTCACGTCAAACTATGTTTCCTACAGGATATCCTTTGCTCGTGAAGGATATCTCTCCGTTTCCCAGTTTCCCGGATAGAGGCCATCGTTTATACCGTGTCGCTGCTTTCAGGCTGACCCGAATCTACGATAGTGCTCGAGTTAAAACGCCCGGCTTTTTCCTCTTTGTGTCGCGCTTCCAGCGATATCTCAAACTTCCGAATTCTTCGCCAATGAACATTTCTCTCGACTCGTCCCGGTTAAACCGACCGATTCGCCCTCCACTTTTCCAGCTGTTTACCTCTGATTCGGACACAGGTGGGACGAGCTTAGAAACACAAAGGCAAGCCAGTAGTTAGCTGCATCGTGAAAGAGCCGATGCTCGCGCAGCTTTTAAAAATATTTCTCGATCGAATTACGAAGAGCAAACGTACTATCGTTTGCAACAGTCTGAAAGAGCGTCCTTTCAATTTCCAATCGTTCCTTGCAACATCCTGTAAAATTGGCCTGCGTTTACTCTAATACAAAACTGTCCCTTGGGCACCCCTCGTTTCGATTTTCGAATATACGTACAAATGTGAACATTCAAGGACGAACGTCTCGAAGTGTGAATATTCTTCGATATCGCATATTTTTGCAAGTTTTACGATATTCCTATCGTTTCCAATTGATTTTTACAATTAATACGATACGTTTCCTGTATGGTATTATTATATAAAATATTTATGCACGTATGTGCAATGTCAATTTCGTACTGTGGTAACGAAGGAAACGCACTGTCCAGATAACAGAACGTTCGAATATCAGAATGTTCTGACGGTAGAATGTTTGTACAGTAGGTACTCTGATACTGGAGATTCTAACGTGTTCCTAATGACAGTGCTGGATTACATCAGGATTTATCCATACATTAGATATAGGTACGATCAATTGTTGTTATAGCTAACAGTGACTATATCTCTGTATTTTGGCTACCTCATTGATACGAAATGTGACACTGGCACAGATAGTTCTTCCTATTAATACGATACTCCTGTCACGATCATATCTATTTTAAACTCAAATAGTTTCTCATCGTCAGTAAACGGACTTTGTTGCATCGATACACCAATCCTAGGATAATCGTATGATACTTTTCAATCAAATTTTGTAGATTTCTCATACTGGTCTAGAAATTCTAACATGTTAATAGACATTTCGTTAATATCCCTTGAAAATCTAAAAAAAAAAAATTACTGCTTTTATCTTCGGAGATTTAAAAAAGCAGGTAATAGACTACAAGTACTATGCAAGAACATTTCATTAGTTGATCTTTATTAGTGTAGGATCTTATATTGCAGTTAATTTATTTACAATAAATGGATTATACAGATGCTGATTAAACAGGAAAATTTGGTTATTTAACCCCTTAACCTACGATTTACGTTTGAGAATTTTGGGCCGAAAACGTAAACAAGCTATCATATATTACATTATACAGTGTGGTTGGTAACTGGTGGTACAAGCGGAAAGGGGGTGATTCTACGCGAAAAAAGAAGTCGAAAATATAGAATAAAAATTTTTCCTTCGAGGCTTTGTTTTCGAGAAAATCGACTTTGAATTTTCGGTCGGTACGCGTGCACTTTATCACGTCTCGTTATAACGGATCTCACTGTAGATCGTTGTTTCGATTGACGTTATTTTTTTAATTTTTAAAATTTTTAAATGTTTAAATTTTTAAATTTTTAAATTTTTAAATTTTTAAATTTTTAAATTTTTAAATTTTTATTCTATATTTTCGACTTCTTTTTTCGCGTAGAATCACCCCCTTTCCGCTTGTACCACCAGTTACCAACCACACTGTATAATGTAATATATGATAGCTTGTTTACGTTTTCGGCCCAAAATTCTCAAACGTAAATCGTAGGTTAAGGGGTTAAATAACCAAATTTTCCTGTTTAATCAGCATCTGTATAATCCATTTATTGTAAATAAATTAACTGCAATATAAGATCCATATTTGGCCCGATCATCGTACTACGGACTATGCCTGTAATATTTACGTTTGGCCCGATCATCGTACTGCGGGCTATGCCCGTAGTTGTAGGTTAAGGGGTTAACGTGAACTAATCACAATAACGTACTACTATTTAGACAACTAAATAGTAGTTAATTTGCAACACTCGTCACCACGGATCCAACGCTCTCTCTCTCACGCGGACCACACTCTCCCGACAACGCTAGCAACATATCTCCCTGACTTCTCGATTCACACACTCTGGCTTCTCAACTAACACTGTTAATTCGTTTTTTTTCCCTTAGTATCCCTTTGTCGTTTGTCTGAGCCCCAACACGCACGTGTTCCGCAACCGCACGTGGCCAGGGTCACGCAGGCCTTTTCCACGTAACGATTCGATCGAAGGACCGACGATACATCGATGGGCCTGTCGGCACTTTGGCTTTCTCGCGATATTGTTTATGGTTCACCCGATATCTCTTAGGCATTTCGTCCACGATACCACGATAGAAATATATAATACAATTGATACGAAATATTCGAAGGACGCAATACATTTTCTTATTTTTTTCCGTAAGAAATCGTCGATTATCTGATTGTGCCAGAATCGCAAAGCTACATTCTACAGAAACGCAGGAACGCTGGCGCGAATCTAGCCCGCCCTGAAGGTTAGCTCTGTGTAGGCTTGAACGATCGTAAATTCTACGAAACGGTGGTACTTCCGGCCAAATTATACATCTCATAAAGTATTCCCGACCGGTTCCTCGAAGCAAGGCAGAAAGTATTTCGCATAATATCTTTTCGAGCCACGCGGCAGAAAAGGTGGGTTGAGGAAGGGGAAGAGGGCGATACGAACCCTTCTGTCGGGGTTCGATCCGTCGCGACTGTGAGAGAGAAGAAGAAAGAAGAAGGATGAAGCACGCGGTACCAGTGAGGAGGAAAAACGAATAAATACGGGAGCAGAGTTCGAAAGAGAAGGAGAAACCGGGACCGGTTCCGATACGCTGATACGGCGGAACGATGCGAAAAGAACGGCACAATATTTCAATATGCTAAAATTATCGAGCGTTTCCTCCGGCTGTACTTTTGCTAAGTAAAGCTTCCAACTCTCTGCTTCTCGCTCCTCGCATCGACAGTTAACGAGGATTCCTTCAACGTACTGTAGATTTTCACGGATCGATTCGAAGCGATTCTGAAAGAATATAACATAGAGGAGTAGCGGGATGGAAAGTATTTATGATTCTGTTCGCTGAATAATCGAAAATCGACGAATTTGTTTTTTCCGAATGATTTAATTTTCTGTTAGTACTAAAATCGCTCTAACGTACTGATAACAGGAAAACGTATTTTCCTGTAAAAAAAAAAAAAAAAGGAGGGAGAAACTATCAAAACTACCCTTACTCTGCCCAACGTGTTTGCACGTAGCTTAACGCTAAATTATTCACATCATACGCAGCGAAATCGTTAAGCCAAACAACACATCCAGCAACCGTCACATTCAAATTCCACATTCGGTTCATGAAATGTATCTACCGTTGAAAATCCCCGGAACACACCGGAAATGTATCAACTGAGCCGCGTTAACCTAGGACAGGCTGCACGCGATATTTATTACCGGTCGACATCAACACCTATTTATAACATCAGCGTCAGAACTGCAGGATCAAAAAACGGCCAATCTGCGTATCAACTCCGGTATCGCGTTATCGGAACGAATGGTCATTCGTTATTGTCGCGCGACGCGATTCCCAATACATATACGCGATCGGGCAAAAACGAGGACACGAAATCGAAAACGGTGAACAGCGTACTGGACGCTTCTATTCGGTTCTATTCCTCGAATAATACAATAATTCTTCCGTGGACAGGGTGGCAGGAAGCAGGGACGTTCCGGCGTAACGTGGTGGAACGCGAGTTCCAGGCCGAAAAGGAAGTGCACCGCGTCATATCGAGATATCGAAATGGAGCGTTACATCGGGACCGGTCCTATTTTCTCGTCCGCGTAAACCACCGGGACATATTCCTTTCTCGTGGCGCGATAGCTACTCGGGTCCAGTCGATATCGTCGGTCTTCGGGGAGATAGCGAAATCGGCTACGCCGGACATGCTCGTCGAACCGTAAAATCGAGTCGTATATTTCGGTATTTTTTCGCCGCGATTTCGAGACGAGAAAGCGAGACACGTCACTTTCCTGGTTTCTGCCTTCTCACGGTGTGTTACGTGCTTAGATGGAATAATTTAGTGTCATGATGGTAATATTTGAGGCCGCGGCTAGACGAGCGTTGGACCGGCGCTGCATTGCAG